CGTTGCGCAAGAAATGGCTTGGCGGCAAAGGTGAGGAGAAATGCGCGAAAAGGAGGGACGAGGATCGCAGCTTCCATAATGTATGGATGTTCTTTACAAGAAGGAGGCTAGGAAGCAACAATTGGCTAGTTGCTTGAAAGGTGAATCGGATGTACCCAAATCATCTCATGTTACACCAGTAGACCTTCACGAGATGTGACCGTCCGCACTTCAACCCGCTTCCCCTTCGCCATCTATCCGAAGAGATCCGAAGCGAATCACCGGTCTATCGACTCGTGGATGTTCGAGTCAGCGATGTTGCTCAGGTACACTCCTTGAAATCGTCATGGTTACGTGGATGGCATGGCTCAAAAAATCGGATGACCCCGAATTCGAACACCAAGTATATAGGTGTTTGAACATTTTGAACTCCACTGCCACCTTAATGACTCGGAGAGTACCCGAGGAGTCTTCGCCGTTTTCCGTCACTGGCGGTCGGTGTGTTCTTCGGAATGTTTCAGTCTCCAACTAAGACATCAGGGCCAGGAGGAAGAACACCTGAACACCTGGTGCAGACCACAACGTGAAAAATAAAGGTCGAGCAAAATAGACAACATAGATAGCCAACAGCTGGTCCAGGTCGAGTTTGGTCGAAATGAGTTGGGAAATCGCCAACAGCTTGGCTGATTCTTGGTGTGCAAGTGTTGCGCCGCGAGTCATCTCTGCCTGTCATTTGTATGGTTGTTGATAACCCTCAAAACATTTAGTCCGTGTTCACACTGTGAGGGAGGAAGGGCTGATTCATCTCCAGAATCACCTACCCGGACCTACCCTCGTCCATGAGAAGTTCGAACCAGATCCATATGCCATATGTCATATGACCATTTCTTTCCAAGTAAATGACACGCCCAAGATCACCCAAGACTCCTTCCACAGACCCTCAAAGAGGCCACCCCGCACAGACAAGCCATCCAAGACATGCCAGAAGTGCAAACCAGCCCGTGCCTGTTTGCGGTTTGACCGTGCGATTCCGTGCGAAACGGCATTCACCGGGTGCATCCAGCGAATGAAGCGTCGCTGGCGTGCGTTGTTTGGGACGGCCCCAACGTTCACAGCCTTTGGAGAAGAACGAGCGTCATAGCAAAAGTGCGCCATTGGTTCGGACTCAGAACTGGAATCTCAAAGTCCGAATGACTCACGTTCGAATCTCTTGGGATCTTCGCCACTTCCCATAGGATCTAAAAGTAAACCCGTTCCACCCAGAAAGAAGAAAACGTCCCCCGGCGAGCGAAGCAGGCGCCCAGGAACGACCCAGAGCCCAGCCTGAAAGTGCTTGCCGATACGGACAGAATCAGTCGCTTTGTCGGCCTGCACGCAGGTCCGGTCCAGTGTGATGCAATTCATGCACCGCCCAAGCGGGAGGACTGGGTAGACAGACACACACCATGTGTGTGTGTGCGTGTGTGTGTGTAACCCTTGGAATCATAGGGATCCTTTCGGATTGTTTTAGCTTCACAGTTGTTTTCCTTGTGCAGCAGGGGAACTGGGCACTCTGTGACTGACCCAGTTCAACGAAGCTAGGTCACAGAGTGGGATATTCGGACTGATCATTCGAACGTACCTGCATTTTTCCAATTTTCCGCATGGCGTGAGGCTAAGCCAAGAACCTCAAAGACTTGGTACTTCATGTTGCTGCAGACATGCACGACGTCATCTTGTCGGCTCGTCGATCGTCTTCTTCCTTTTGGGCCCTACTTCCTCTTGAAGACCTCCAGGATCCAGTGGTTCGTACATGTGCCCTTAGGAATTGGAACCCTAGGCCGGCGTGTGGCACCGCTTTCAGTTCAGTACACCCTATCCTAAGTGTGTGCATACACCTCTGTTGCACCGGAGGCCTTCCGCGCATGTCCGGAATGGAATCAAGAGGAGGCTCGAAAAAGATTGAAAAGCCATTTTTCAGCGGATTCCTCAACACTAGCATACGATATAGCTTATGAATCATATAAAGGACAACAAGACACATAAAAAGAGAAACGAAACAAGGAACAAAATGTCCTGAATCAAAAGAAGGCCACCTAAAAGAACAAAAACCTTGGAGGTGAAATCCTGATCTGCAACAAAATAAGGACAAAACATATCCACCAAACTCATGCTAAGCACTGCTCTCACCGGATACCGCCTTCACGTGGTCTGAGCTCGTGCTCTCGCGGCACCAGGGTCGGGCCTGGCGAGAGGACACCGCGTCTGCCGTGTCGGAGCCTGGTCGAGCCTGGCCTCCTCACTTCCACGTTCAGCATCTTTCCATCTTTCGACTTCGACCCTTTAATTAACTTAATCTTAATCCTAGAAGATGCTCTCAAATCATGGTCAATCTAGTGATCATCAACTTCATCACCAAGTGTTCCTATGGCAACAGCAACACTGAGCGTGACCAAATCATCTCTTAAAACGGCCGCAGCTTCAAGTAAGAAATGCACAGCAAATAGCAGCTAATTCCATGATTATGTCAGAAAGTGTAGCTTTGGGGGGCCACATCATCTGCGCTCTGCGGTCGTAAACTTCTGCGTTCCATGCTAAAAAGCCCCTCCATTCCAAGCACCTGAAGAAAGATATGACTGACGCTGTTGCTGTTTTGGACAGAGCTGCGGCCCACCTCTTGCACCTCTGGCGGCCTCATTGGACTGCACTGCATCAACACTTAGACTGCCCAAGAGATGCAATTCATTGCGCATCTTGATCCAGCAAAAGTTCTTTTCATGTCTTCATTGGGTCTACATGGGTACATGGTGGCTGATCAAAATTCCTTTCCCCGAAAAAATATCGCATGTTTAAGGGTTCAATCAATCGCTGAGAACGGCTAACCTGGAGACTTAGACTTCAGAACAGCTCCCCTCCTTCAAGATATTTAAACATCAGTTGGATTTTGGGCTTTTGTATGGAGCCGCTTAGTCAGAGCACCCCAGTTTAGCATGAGTGAAGCACACCTAAACATCAGTTGGATAGCTATATACGGTATTTCGAGCAACATCGTTTGACCATCTCCTCTACAAACCTCCAGAGGCTTCTCCGCCAAGGGACGCAGTTGCCACGGACGCCTGACGACAACGGGGCACGGGTGGGCGCGTAGAGTTTGGTCAAATTCCTTGAGACCGATGGGATTGCTAGAGAAACGAAGCGAAGGCGATCTGAAAAGGTTCCTCGAAATGCTCTCTGAGACAAACCCATACGATGTTTCATACAATTATATAAAGCTTATGACATTGTGTTTACCATCCTGAACTGGAAGTTCAGTGAAGTTCCTGACCCAAAAGGAGCAAAAACAACTTTAGGGTGAATGGAGACTCAACGGAATCTGGGAGTGAAAATACATTCTCATGCACCAACTTGTCAAATTGCCCGCTCGACCATCGTGCGAAGTGAGACAACAGCAAGGATGTCTTCTACTGGGTTGGTACAGCAAGAACTATGTGGAAAAATATCGTAAAACGGAATACAAGTACCATGGTATCAGAGCACTCACTAGGGCAACCATTTGGGTACCTGTTGCCTGACTCTTCTTATACAAAAAACGCAGAAAAACAAAACAGTCTCTCTTGGACGATGTGTTACAACGACGAGCAAGCAGTCAAAACGACGATCGGTAGCAGTCGACAAGCAGCCACTCCACTGCTGGCCTGTTGGCCCATGATGGGCCTCCACAAGGGGCACGAAGGGGCAGGGCGATGGGGTAGGTACGACCATTGGGCCGTTGGTACTCCGGCCAGGGAGATGACCGGAGTACCACGGGTACGGGGGAGTGACGGGTGTAGATCTCCTGTCCAACAAGAGGGACTTCCAAGAGAAAGTACTTATATTTGCCGAACATGTGGTCCAAAGGAGTCCCAAATTGGTGTGATACACAAAAACCATCCCCCAAAGACTACGTTCTCTGAGTCGCTCATGGTCAATCACTCGTCGTGAGCGGTTGTTGGCTGAGTTTGTCTTTTTCCACGAGGCATCTTGGAATGACCATTGACATCACCAGTGTCCATTCCAGAACCCCTTTCACCCAACCGAACCATTTGACCGGAATCGTCCTCCATGAACATTGGAATCAGCTTTTGGATGACGCAACGATTTGGATTTCCGCAAAGCTCTGTCAGGCGGCTGAAGCCGAGCTTCGAAAAACTGGCTGGCCTTCGACAGATCCACGGCTCAGGCTTGCACCGAATTGTTAGATATCTTAAGTTCGCTCTGATGACACCTGCTGGGATAATCCTCTAGTTTTTGTCCAGTCCTGTGAGAGCGCCCCTTTCAACAACAGCTGCTTGGTGCTTTTGTTGCTGAAGCTGTTCGATTTAGCTGCGTTGCCAACAAATCTGTGGAATAGGGGTAGAAGACGATGAGCACCTCTTGGTGTCTTTTCCAAAGAAAGACTTCATGACCTTTGCCACAGTGAAGAATGTTGCCACATCGAGCTCCATGCTCCATGAAACTTCTACGAAATCACTGCGGACGCGGCCACAAGCGATGATGCAGTGCGAATATCACTGGTGCCGAGATGCAGTGAGTGTGTTGTCCACAGAAGCAAGTAAAAGAAGGACCCTTGACCAGAGCTCAAACATAGCTACTCGTTCTGAGGCGTGAACCAAGCCAAAATATGCAAGAAGGTGGATTTTTCAAAACCCATTGTACAAGAGTTTCTCGCTCTCCCTCATGCTGTCACGATGAGTGACTTCCAGAAGTGCGGCATGCTTTTGAAACAGTGGGTATAAATAGATGCCACATCACAGTCTCAGATGTAGGCAGCCGGCATGAGCTCTAGAACCCAGGAATGTGTGTGCAAAAATCCTGCACCACCAAGATGTCAAACTCTAGAAACACTTAACTAGTATATATTGATATTGGCGGTGTATCTTCCCCATCTCAAGTTCTGCTGACGAAGTTTGTCTTGCTCCGTGGCAGAGTGGGAACCCTACAGCCACCTGATCCACCGGCTCTACCGACTCAGCGTCCCTTTTCCACCCAAAGGTTCAAGCTCGCTAGGCATCTGAGTTCTTCAAGGGCTCTTCTTGTGGCAATCCCTGCGTGGGAGGCTCGGAAGAGGATCTCTGGAGTGGATCTGTCGGGAAAAAAAGAGGTGTCTCAGTGATCAGGGCACAAGTGGGCCGAACAAGTGGCCGAACGAGGCACACGGACGAGCGGTGCGGGAGTGCCTTGCCCAGGACCAAGCAGGTAATGGCATGCATCAGCAGCCCAGGAGGGCCAATCAGGTTGCAGAAAAGCACCTGATAGATTGGCTGACACGTGCGGAACATGGGTGAAAGGTCCAATCCACCTGCTGATGTGTTGCAAAGCAGCGTCTTCCCACCGACAGTCATGGTGGAAGAGAACTTGTCCATAAACCGGAATTGTTAAATGACAGTGTGGTGTCAACGGTGTTGGAGTGCTCTAGGCGACCTCGAAAGTAAGGGACGCCTGCAGATCCTTGTTGTTGGTGCTTGTGATCCGCTGAGCTCCTTTTGGCACAAATCTAGCTGGCCAGCCAGCATGGCTCCTTTCTTGGAATTTAGGCTTCAGACAGGCCAACGCCAAAGCACCCCAAAAGATACTCTGGTTGGGTAGGGCCCTCAAAAACCGGGTTCTGCTTCGAAATTCCGCTGCGGAATAGGTTCCGTTCAAAATCTAGGGATGGCTGGTCAGGGGCCGTTCAAGGCTACTTGAAGCAGCACTTCCAAAAGATCCAAAGAGACACACGGAGACGGATGAAACACCACATGTTCACCCCATGCTCTGGCTCCCACGGCCGACACTTCGGCACCGCTGTTCGCCCGAAACACCCGCCGGCACACGTGCGGTGCGGGTCCCAGGAGCTGAATGAGAGGCGAAGATGCCTCTTCGCTGGCCATCCAGGTAAATCCATCCTCAGTGGTGACACAAAAGGAACAAATGGATATTGAAGAAGCACTGCTTTCATGCTTGTTTGCTGAATCCACAAAAAACAAGCTCGTGGCGAAGTGTCGCCCCGTTCTAAAGGCCAAGGAATAGCGCTGAAGAGTCGTTGAAGAAGGAGCGTGAAACCAACAGGCCGAAAAGAGGAACACAAAATTGACACAAAACTTGCCTGTATTGGAGACAAAGGGATTGGAAGTCTCAATGAAGATGGTGCAAAACAGATCCTTTCTGTGTTGCGAAGCTGCCCATGGGTGGGCCGACAGTGTGTCGCATGTTCGGGGCAAACCCGGACTTGGATGGTGCTTATCTCGCAGGTTCGTGTGAATGATGTGCTTTCTGCTGTCTTGTCCACTGTTCATGGATTTTGTGCTTGAGTGGGAAACACAGGCTTACTTCAATATCTTAGAGTAAATGTTCGGTAGTCACATTTTGCTGGCTGCACTTCCTCCAAATTGGGCTTCCTGGTTGTAAAATCTGTTCACACTCATCGAGTCCGTGGTGAAGCTAAGGTTTGCAGCATCTTCCAGGGGGCCTATCTTTAGCTTCCATCATCCTTCAGGGACCCGAAGCGATTTTTGGGTGGTCCAACCCCTTGGACTTGTTCCATCAGGCCCAGAAAGACTCAGAAATACGGCAACCTGGAAGCCTCTGAACGCCTGCATGCGCATCTAAACTGATCACTCAAGGTGTGCTTTTGGTTCCAAGGTGCTGGAGAAGGATTGATCTCGATCAGAAATTGAAGGCGAGCAATGAACTAGTACCGCTGCTACCAAGCATCAGCTTGACCCAAAAAGGAACTGGATCTTCCCAACTTGGGGAAGGCCATGGCCCGATGATCTCTCAAACTCCCGATGGAGCACTCCGCCGGTCCGCCCTGCCCGGTCCGCCAGATCCGCCGGGTCCGGGTCCGACGTCCGAGGCATGCCGAGCTCGGCACGCCCCACGAAGAGATCCCAAGCCAAGACATGGGACCACTCTTCCGACACGAAGCCCGGACCTGAGACGCCACGGGAAACCGCCACGGTTTCCCGGCCAACTGTTCAGTTCGGACGAGGAGTGTTTTGTGGTCAGGAGTCTTTTGGGCCCACAAAACACTCAAAGACTCCACAAAATAGAGTTGTTCTACTTTTTTTGTTTTTTCCTGCGGGATCGAGGGGTGGAGCGTCTGGTCTGAAAACGGAATTCATGCTGTGGCTGGGGGATGTGTTTTTGAGTCCCGTGCAAGTACCTGCATGATCACCCAACAAGTGGTCACAGTGGTCAGCTGGCAGTAGACATCGGGGATCTTTTCTGCCCGTGTCTGTTGGACTGGCGCTCTGAGCGCCTAGCAGCGCCTAGCTACAGCAGGAAGTGGTCTGAGCTGGAAATCTGATATTGCCACTCTCCAACGCTTGATGTTCTTTCAAAACAGATCCCAAAACCTGTGTCATTTAATTTAAGCTCTCAAGCTGACCATATCCTGGGGAACATCCATTGGCTCGGCCAAGGGACAGGACCCTTTGGGCAACCCTGGTGATCACCCTCATCCGCCAAGATCCGCAAGTACTCGCGGTGAACTCGACATGGACCACACAAACAAAGCCAGCTCCGCACCGTGCGGTCTTCTAAGCAAACATCGCAAAACATGCCCTGCTGAAGGACATCTGCCCCTGTGAAGGACATCTCATGGATTGGGCGACCCTGTGTCTGGGAGATTCAAAACTCCCATCCGCCTTTGGGGCTCGGTGGCCTGCTGCTGGTTGCGAAGGTGCAACAAATGGGCAGCTGTTTTGCTGGTTTGCTGCTCAATCAAGCAAGCAATGGCTGTTCGGGGTGCGCTCCAACCCACGAGTGGCAAAACATATCGAATTAGGACCCTCCAATGGTTCAGGGAGGTCGGGTTGTTCTTGCGCCTGACCTGCCACCACCGTGTCAACACTCTCCAGATTTGGGGCTATCTGGTCTTTGTCATGTTTATTCAGCTAGCCCAATCTCTGCAGCCAACCTATGTACAGTAGAACAAAGATGAACAAACCAGTTTTGGTCTTCGGTATACATATTGGCATGTTCTGCTCTCCACTCCGAAATATGGGCCCATAAACGATGTCAGAAAGCAGGGCTAGTGGGATTAAGAATACTTCTTGCCCGTGTTACGTGTTAGCTTCCCGGATGTTGGGCTCGACATATCACTTCCCTTGCAAAATCAATTGGGAAGACTAGTCTGGTGAAGCAATGCCAGATCAAGTACTGCTCGCATCGCCTGTACCCCAAAGGTTCGCTGCAAACAGCTGTGGTCAAAAATGACTTGCAGAAATCTCACTTCATGTGCAATTCACCTGCTGTCGGTCCACATTGTAGAAATTCCCGATGGTTTGTATCAAGTGCAAATCATGAAACCCTTCTTGCCTCGCCAACTGGCGCCATAAGGCAAACATTCTTCCAGCCACGTGCTTCATGTGACCAAGTCGGTATATTGCAAAAACTGGTGCACCATAGATTCGCAAATACTTGGGATGTCTGAAGAAAGAAAGCAAGTAATGGAAATGCTGTCTCCACTCTTGCTCGTCACCATAAGTCTGTGCGAGCAACACGTCCTCCAATCCTGTCCATCGACCTAGTAGGGAAGCAAAACTTCAAGGTTGATCACTGCCTGTTCGCCAAAACTACTTCAACTCCACTGCTCTTCGCCCAAAAGTTTTCGCACTCGGCACCTCGACCGTGCGCTTCGGTCTGCAAGGCCGGCTGGGCGAGGACTCGACCACGGTCCATTGCTCACTTCAGACCGAAGATCGTCACGTGGATCTTTGCTGAGAGACCTTCTCCGCCTGGCACAGATGGAGCTTTGCAGCGTTCAAAGCGAAGGCGTTGGAGAACCACGCGTTGTATGGTGCGAAGGGCTGGTTCTTTTTTTGGCATATACATCGGCGTAGATGCCATAGGGTTTGGAGTTTGGAGCCATGTCTCACACCCAAAAAACCATGTCGCAAAATCAAGGGTTTATATACCTCTTTTTAGACCAGCTTCAAGCTTGGGTCAAACAATAAACAAACTGGGCAACTCTATCCTGCAAGATAAAAATGGCACGCCTGCATCAAGCTGTAGTTGCTCAAGGCTCATCGAGGACATCTTCAAGAGCTCCGACATCTTCAAGGACGACTTGGCCTCAGTTGCCCATGCTATCGCTGTGGCATAGGCTGTGATAGTAGAAATAAATTTTTGTGAGTCCTCTGATACAAGGAAAAATGTGTCTGTAACCAGGAACCATCAGGAACCTGATTATCTGCAATGTACACTGAGAGGGCTCAATTAGCCATGTAACTGCACCATCGGGGCAGCATGTAGGCATACCATCCCTCTAGAAAAAGATAAAGGACCGAACCCCAGTCTTTGACGTTCAGTTGCAAAAGGCTTCTCCTTGGCGTCCAAAGCCTGGGTGTCATCGGCAGCAGCACACATCAGCAGCTTGCAGCGGTTGTCCCTTTGGATTGGATTGATGAGCAAGAAGTCCTCAACCCATCTTCTTGAACCCTTTTCACCTTTACAAAAGCCCAGTCATGGGAAGGCTCCAAGAGAAGCCTTCCCAGTCATGGGAAGGCTCCAAGAGAAGCCTTCAAGAGAAGAAGCGGCCCCAAAAGAAAAGAAAGGACACAAGGAAAACCAAGCCCAATAAACCCAATAGCGAGACTAAGCATGTAATCGGAGCATGCAAAACCAAATTTACATGGTGCCAAGAGAGAAGGTGCGATTCTCCCGAAATTTCTCCGGGACGACGTCCCTCTCATCCAAAACACCTGGGAAATGTCTCAAATCGCCAGTCCGTTTCAACGTCTTTTAAAAACTTCCAGTGGCTGTAATCAAGAGCTCCTCCGTCTCCAAGCCCTTCTGCGGCACCGAAAAGTAGAAAGCGGTCTCGAACCTCAAACCGAAAGCGGTGGCTAAGCCTCGCCTGTCGTTCACCAAGGCCCTGTTCCCACGCCCATATGGCCATCGTGATCAGCCCAATGACATTAATAATGAAAAGAACATGCAACGTATATCGTTTATGTCGTCCCTACTTGCTTGTAAACTTGCCATTCGGTAAAGGCGAAAACTCTGAAGATCTATCTCATGCATGCCCCCCCACACGACCCTCATATGCCTCAAGAAAGTCCAAGGCTACACCATCCACAACTCTTCTGGTAGTTGGTCACAGATCTTTCCTATGTCTTGACTGTTTCCACATTGTCATAACCCTATAACATCCCTCCCATGCTCCCTCGTGCCAAAGCACTCCAACGGCCGCATCGCTTGGGCTGCCGCCATCTCCACGGTGTCCACCGTGGAGGCCGTCGCCGTCGAGGCATCCAACGCATCGACACCGTCCGTCTTCGCGGCATCCGTCTTCGCCGTGGTGTTGGAAGCGAGGGCCACGCGGAGCTGGTCTTCGGTGAGGCCTGAGATCTCCAGGATGGCAGCCTCCAGCGATGCAGTTAGAAACGCTCGGGGGAAGCCGGCGTGAAGCCGCCCGGTCTCTGGTGCCACTGGCCGAAAAAAGAAGGCGCCTACAGCCCGGGGGATGGGACATCTCCCAACTCTTGCTGAAAGCAGAAATACAACTGGATCAACCTTCAGATGGTGGAGTTTCAGTGTACAGCAGTTAGAGGTTCAGAGGACCGCACCGCACTACCCAATGCGGTGCGACTAGTTCTGGGGCACGCCGCGCTAAAGCCAGAAAGAGTGGCGGCGGTCCGGGAAAAGCGAGTTTGAATCTGATCAGATTCATTTGGCTGACGTGAAATCTCCATATGGGAGTCTGAGAAGGATTCGCGTGCAAATAATTACGGCTGCTTGTGAGCAACTGTTTAATTCATCTTCTCTTACATGGCAATGTCAAAACTTCCAAGCAATCAAGCACAACCACTGAATCAGTGTGAAAAAATATACACACAGTAATATAATATGATATGATATAACATAATATAGTATAATAGAATAGAATAGAATAGAATGCAATACAATACAATACAATATATACATATATAAGTGGTTGAATTCTGAATTGCGTCCCCTCATTGAAAGATTCACTAGTTAATACTAGTTACAATGTTTTTTCCATATTTGAGACAGGCCCAAAGTGACATAGCCACGGGTGAGCCTTTCACCCCACACGCACACCCGGGCCCGCACCTGGTCCAAGCCCTGTGCCTGGCACCGCCTGGCCCATGCGTCAATTACTATTAGCCTTGCTACTCATAGCGATCCACCTGTTACTAATAGCGTCCTAGCTACTAAGTAGCGATGCACTTGCCACTAGTTACTAGTAGCGTCCTTGCTACTCCAACATCTTTCTCCAAACTGCTTCACTCCCTAAAGCCCCTCCTTGGATCTGCAGAGATTAACAGAATCCCACATGCTGAGAATTGCTCTCCCCACCCGAGCGGGCCCCAGCCCAACCTAGCCACGTCCATCTTCAGCTTCTCCTCGGGCGAAAGTGCCACTGCCGCTGGCGCCATGACTGCAGTGCGCTTCTCCTCTCAAGAATTCTCAGGAAGGCGTCATGGGGCGACAGACGATGCGCAGACTCCGAACGACGATCCCTAAGCGATCAGAAGAGAGGAGTTTCTCCTTTGGTCCCTTTGGGTCCTTTCGCTCTGGGCAGAATCTTCCAACCTCCTTTCGCTCTGAGAAGCGATCCTTTTCCTCCCAGGCTAAGCGGCTTAGCTGCCACCATTTCCAACCGATCTCCTGCGAGCAAATCTGGGCCGCCACCATCGCGGACTCACCTTTGGGAGATAGCATCTCCTTGATTTCCACCATGACCACGCAACCCGCCTCATCAGCACCCAGCACGGCGGCGCACAAAAGAGTCCGGCGCGCTTCCTTTTTCCGGGGCGCATATTCGCAGATGGGGTCACTCATGTGGGTGGCCAAATTGACTCCAGGCTTCCGTGTGGGGTCACGTTCTTCTCCCGATTAATTGGAAATGAAGTGAAATGTAGCCTGATGCATTTGGGCCATTGCAGTGAATCGAACACCGAT